GCTTGCGCTGGCGGGAGACCGGGAGGGTGGAAGACGGAGGAACCGACCGATACTGGGTCGATGGTTGCCGCAGCAGAACGCCGCGGACACATGCGCGAAAATGCGTCGCACCGCGGACGGGGAGCGCATCTACGTCGAATGGAGCCTCTTGGAGCCATGCGGAGTCGTCGGCGATGAAGGTGAGAGTGCCGAGACGGATCTCTTGACCCTCGATCAAAACTCCAGCAGACACCATGATGAAAATACTCGGAAGAATCGCAACTTCTCCACAAAATCGCTAAAACACCGGCCCCACGGTGGGCGCCAACTGTCGTGGTTCTAAGCCTGACAGTAGAGTGGGGGTAGGTATGGAGAGGCAAGGTCCTAGCTATGGAGAGGTTGTAAGCACAAAGGATGTACGAGTTCAGGCCCTTCTCGGAAGAAGTAACAGCCCTACGTCTCGGAGCCCGGAGGCGGTCGAGTGGATTATGAATGTATGGATTACAAGGTGCCGAACCCTTCTGCCTGTGGAGGGGGGTGGCTTATATAGAGTGTGCCAGGACCCCAGCCAGCCCACGCAGGAGAGGGTTTAAGGTGAGTTAAGTCTGGGGCGTTACTGGTAACGCCCCACATAAAGTGCCTTTACTATCATAAAGTCTACTTAATTACAGACCGTTGCGGTGCAGAGTGCCTCTTGACCTCCTGGTGGTCGAGTGAGTCTTCGTGGTCGAGTCCTTCAGGCCAGTCGAGTGTGTCCTCGTTGGTCGAGTGAGTCCTCGTTGGTCGACTGGAAGGCGACCTCTTCCAGGGATGTCCTAGGGTAAGTTACTTGGGACAGGTCCGTGACCCTACCCTAGGTACATAACCCCATCAGCCATGACTCCAATCATGGTCAATCCGGAATGAGCCAGTAACCTTATCCGGCCCATCAGATATTGGACGCCCCTATCATTCTCCCGTTGAGGGCTCCGCGGGCGCCAGCTCAGGCGTTTCTTCAGAGGAGCGTTGCTGAACTCCGGGAGGCCGATCCGAACTGGGTCCGGCAGTGGGGCGTCTTCCATATAAAACCATTCCGAAGCCAGTCTTCGGACGCCTTCTTCGGGGTTCCGGATAGATATCCGATCCCGACGATGCGCCATATTTCGGCTCCGTCCACTTGATATATCGACCCCTCGTGAGAATGGGGTACGAGGCAAAACAATCTCTTCCACAGCGCAAAATGGGCCTCGATGCCCAAGAACAGCTCGCAAAGGGCTACAAAGCCCGTGATGTGCAAGATGGAGGCAGGTGTAAGGTGGTGAAGCTGGAGTCCATAGAACTCCAGGAGCCCCCGGAGAAACGGATGTATGGGAAATTCGAGTCCCCTTATTAGATAAGGGATGAAGCATACCCGCTCTCCTTTGGAGGGATTGGGGACGCTTTCCGCCTGCTTCCCACCCTTGTAGGTGGCCAGTCCGGCTCGAACCGAAACCATGAAGGTTGGGGGAAGGTATCCCTCTGCTTGGAGCGTCACTAGCTCGCTGTGCGGGACTGAACATCTCCTCCAATCTCCTGGCTGAGGGCTGGGAGCGCGAGAGGAGGAGTCGCGTCGACTGTCCATGATGGAGTTGATTTTTGTCAGAGGCGCTTCGATGAGTACTCGCGGAAGGAGGATGGTGTGATTCGGATCTAGATCCTCGCCTCTCTTATAGGCAGCTTATTTGCGCAGCTAGGGGGTAAAACGTAAAAATACCTGGCTTTTCGCATTCATACGACATGTGGAAGAGGGCCATTATTGGACGTGGAAGCCAAGGATCGCAACATTTATAAGGAAGCCGGACACTATTCGGCAAGCACATGGAATTTGGAGGAGAACCCGCCTTGCAAAGCCGAAGACAATATACGCGCCGGACTCATCGTCATTGAAGCCTGGTTCGGGGGCTACTGAGGGAGTCCTGGACTAGGGGGTGTCCGGATAGCCGAACTATCATCATTGGCCGGACTCCAAGACTATGAAGATACAAGATTGAAGACTTCGTCCCGTGTCCGGATGGGACTTTCCTTGGCGTGGAAGGCAAGCTTGGCAATACGGATATGTAGATCTCCTACCATTGTAACCGACTCTGTGTAACCCTAGCCCTCTCCGGTGTCTATATAAACCGGAGGGTTTTAGTCCATAGGACGAACAACAATCATACCATAGGCTAGCTTCTAGGGTTTAGCCTCCTTGATCTCGTGGTAGATCCACTCTTGTACTACCCATATCATCAATATCAATCAAGCAGGAGTAGGGTTTTACCTCCATCGAGAGGGCCCGAACCTGGGTAAAAACATCGTGTCCCTTGTCTCCTGTTACCATCCGCCTAGACGCACAGTTCGGGACCCCCTACCCGAGATCCGCCGGTTTTGACACCGACAATGACGTCAAACATTTTCTGGCGCCATTGTTGGGAAGCTAAGACCCAAGTTCTTTTTTTACTAATTTGCAAGTATTATTATTTCCTTAGATGCTTATAGTGGAAGACAAGAGTTCTCCAGAAGGCAATGTTTAGCTAACTACATTAATAGATTGCTGACCGAAGTACGTCTAGAACTTATAAAAGAACTCAAAAAGTCTGTTGTTGTCGACATCAAATTTTTGTTTGGAGGAATTTCTATAAGCGCAATGGTTGAAAATTCTCTAAGGGAGTATGGTGCTTCATCATGAATTGTTATTAAATCTCCTATTGTTTTACCCACGAAATATGCTAAAGTGTTTGTTGTTGATACTCATATTATTCCTAAAAAGTGTAGGATAAAGCTTTTTCAGGACACGACAATGAAGACCCCTACACACATCTTATAACCTATGGTGATCTTTGTGGCACTTCAAATTGAAGGATATATTGAAAAGGTTTCTTGTTAAAAAAATTCAGGTGGTCTTTAAAGGATAAAGCTAAAGAATGGTTTGACAAGCTCTGAGGAAGCAACCCCATAGACCTTTATTTATCAAGGATGATAACAATTTACAACTCTACAAAGATATGATAAGTAAGAAAAGAAACCTACCCAGGGAGAAGAGAAATCCAAGCTATAATCCTATCCTTGAAGCAAGCTTTAATACTATGTGCAAAAGGAGTCATGTGCCATGAAGCTAGTAAAACCACTTTAGAGAAGAACAACCGCCCAAACGCTTGCCTTACTCTGAAACAATCCGAATAAAATAATTTCCATGGTCTAATCAATCTGCAAATAAGCTCATGTCCTTTGGTTGAACTAAGTAAGAAGAATATGCGAGTCATATATTCATACGCCCGAGTTGAACAAAGCACATAATGATGACCACCTCAACAACATTCCAATGGCGACGAAGCATCATATCACTTAGTGTTTAGGTGATCACCTATGAGGAGCCATGTAAAGGCTATAATTTTCATCGTAGACCTCCTCCAAATCACCTTGTAAGCAAAGACTCACCATGATATGATGATGCATAATTGAGTAGAAGTTGGTAGAACTATAATCCATAGACTTAATTGTGCCTTTTTCAGACATCAAAACCCAAGGGATCCCAACTGAAATTTGTCAACATATTCTCAAGTGCAACAAACTCCTAGTGGGTTTGGACCGAGAGTGGTAGATGGAGAAAACCGACTAGTCATGTATTTGAAGAATCTCCTTGCCAACACCTTTGTCAGAAGTGAGATATGAAAAAGGTGCGGGTTGCGAAATTGGATAGCCTTAGAAGAATCCCCAAGAGTCCATTCATCTGCCCAAAATAAGACTGAATCGCCAGTTCTAACTCCAACCTTAGCATGAGCACTATATCTACCATTGAGCTTGATCACATTCTTCCATCAAAATGAACCACACAAGTTAGTTGCATGGGGGACCATCCGGTGATAATAAGAATTCCAAATCAAGTTCACCCATGGAATATCCCTTTTATTATGAAATGTGTGCATGTGTTTTGACATGAGCGCCTCATTTTGAATGCACAAGTTCACTATGCCTGTCCCATCTTGATATTTATGTTTGCGCATCCTGTTGGACATTGCCCAAGACTATTTTGGGATATCTAAATTACCACGAAAGGGTCATAATTTTTCACTTCTTTCTTTCTACTTGAAGATGGCAGGAGGGATCTGAACACCGCATGAGAAATAGATCAACACTGATAATAATACAAAATTGAACATCCACAAACGACCTCCTTGAGTCAAAGAAAAGCTTATGGTTGGCCTTCTCTCCTTTCGAGACACCAAACGCACGAGATCATGAACTTGGCCTCGTTGGGGGCAAAAAGTGAACAACAATGTCCTCAACTGACATTCGACAATACAAAAAATCGAGCGAACCAAACCGCTTCATCATCAACAACATTAAACAGGAATCATAAAAGATGTGATTCACCAAGAAGCCATAGTAAAAAAATGACCAGGAATAACCTCTGGCATTTACTTGAGCTCCAGAAGCTAAGAATCCATAGTCGACAAGAGTATCTTCATTGTTGGGCACTTGCAGACCAAAAAATAAAATATAATAAAAACAAAAAGAATTGAAGCGTCTGTTATTCTGACGCAGAGCGCTAACTACAGGCGCTAAACCAGCCATTCGATACTTGACATTTCAACTTGTTCAGAGGGAAAGAAAAGGCCACGGTCGCTACCTATTTTTAATCCCTGACGTCAGGATTTGTTGCTCCAACCACCCGTCAGCAAGGAAATCAATCCCAACACCTTAGCCTAGCGCCTCGCGTTGGTCATATGCTCTAAGATAAACAATGTATCATCGGTGTAAACAATGTATCGTCGGTGTATTGGATAAGTACCCCCTCCGTAAAATAATACAAGAGTGCTTAGATCCAGAGAGGAGCACAAATATACTCCGACGTCTAAGTTCGCAGTACAGAACAACCAATTTCCTTGAAAAATACAATACCATGGAGCAACCGTGAGAACGTCAGTTTTCTCTCTCTCCAAAGTAAAGATAAAATACTTGTAAACAGATAACGGTCTGCTTCCCCCGCTCCCGCATTTTGTCGAGCACCTTGCAAGGCCGCGATGCCGCTCTTCCACCTCGCCCCATGCGCTCGCCCCGCCGCCGGGCGCGCCGCGTCCCGCTTTTCCGGGGCGGTGGTCGCCGCCAGCGGCGCCGGAGGAGCGCGTCCTCCGAAGGCGCCCCCGCGGCGCCCGCGCGGCAAGCCCCGGTTCTCGCGGCAGTCGGCCATCAAGAAGAGCTTCCAGCAGGAGCAGGTGGTCTTCTCCACCCCCGTGCCCGCCGACCCCACCGTCGCCATCATCGGAGGCGGAGCCTCTGGCCTCGCCTGCGCGTCCGCCCTCGCCGCCCGCGGCGTCCGCGCCGTCGTATTCGACACGGTTTGTCCCTTCACCCTCACGCCTTCCCTCGCTCCGCGCCCTACCACACGCGCGAGCCTCACTCCCTTACTCGCCGCCGCTGGCGCAGGGTATGCACGGCTTAGGTGGCAGGATGGCGACCAGGATGGTCGACGACGGGCGGCGGCTGGTGTTCGACCACGCGGCACAGTTCTTCACCGCGAGCGACCAGAGGTTCCAGGAGCTGGTCGATGAGTGGGTCGAGAAAGGGTTGGCCCGCGAATGGAGGGGCTCGATCGGTGAGCTCGAGGCAGGTGGCCATTTCACAGCTATACCTTCCTCGACGCCAAGGTATATCGGCGTGAGAGGAATGCGCCCGCTTGCCGACGCAATGCTGCCCGAGGTATAATCAGGTCGACATCTTGTGGATGCATGCTCCGCGTAGTACCAAGTTAGCTATAGCTTTCTTCACTACAGCATCACATTATCATATCCTACTGTAGAGCGTAGTGACTAAATTTTAGTACGATTTGTTCGTTGGAGTTTAGTCCATCAGTCACTTATACGGACTTACCGAACTTCTGATCACTTTCATGGCTGTTCATTTGGTTGCTGAGCCGCATATCAACCTGTGCAGAATGACCTGATTAAAGTTGTAAGGCCTTCCTGGATAAGCAAGCTTGAGCCGTTCAACGGCCTGTGGCGCTTGTTTGAGAATGAGAAGCCCCAGGGTCAATATGATGCCGTTGTAATAGCACACAATGGTCAGTGCAAATTTCGTTTCAATATTGTTTCTCTTTATTGCCAGTTTCTTTAAGTTTATAACTTTAGGAGTTCAAACTTCAGTGTTTTCCAATCTGCTCCACATGTGACAGGCTGCCAGCTCTAAAAAAAATTAAACCCAAGTGTCTCGAGAGAGGATTTTGTCCACCTGGTTACGCGTGCACCCTGTTTCTTGGAATAATTAAACCATATATGCGTACATTTTTAAAATCGCTGCAAAAAATTGTGGATACATATTGTTGGATGCAGTGTGAGCATGCAAAATTTGAGGCAAAAATATACTATATATTTGTGTACTGTAAGAACAAAAGTAGGGAAGAGTTTCTAAAACAGACTGCATAAATGTACCATTTTTCTTTCATGGAGCACACAATTAAATATTTTTGTTCAAAATTTTGCTGGTTCACAAGTCATTGGATAATTCACATTGACAAATCATTTCAGAATTTTTCAAAACCTGAAAATGAGAAAACTCAGCCAGGGGCACATGTACCTCGGTGCACCCTACTAATTTCCCAAATGTCCCACATTATGAAGTAAAGTTACACAAAAGTCCAAAAATTACTGCCTAGATAACTTGAGGTACCATTTTTTATCGGAAATGTTAACGCCCACACGTGTGGGCGTTTGCAGATCGCCCACACGCCTCCACCACCACTCATTTTGCCACGTATGAATACATGACATCAGCAGAAATCTTTTTGGTTTTTGGCTTAAAAATGTTTTATCTCCTAAATAAAAAAGCGAACTAAAAATCCGTTTTCACCATTAAATCCGTCTCGACGAGATCTTCAAAACTAGACCCCATGTTGATATGTTTTGACGAAATTTTTTTTTGCCCAGAAGTTGCCATGATGTTTACACTATAGTTGCCATAGTGCTTAAACTAAAGTTGCCATGTGGCAATTTTAATTTGTAGATCGTGGCAATTTTAGTTTTTTTATGATGGCAATTCCAGTACTTTGACCATGAAAATATTTTTTTTATTGAACCATTGCAATTTTAAGTGCATGTATCGTGGCAATTTTAGTTTATGGTGCATGGCAAGTCTAGTTTCTTAATTCTTTGGTTTATAATATGTTAAAATTGCTTTTAAATATAAAAGAAAATAGTTGAAACATATCATGGCAACTTCAGTGTAAACATCATGGCAATTCATATGCAATAGACATGGCAACTTTTAATCCAAAAAAAATTTCATCAAAACAAATCAACATGGGATCTAGTTTCGAAGCTCTCATCGCGAGGGATTTAATGGTGAAAACGGATTTTCAATCGGATTTTTCGTTTAAGAGATAAAACATTTAAAAACTGAAAATCCAAAAAGATTCCTGCCTGCATGCATGCGATGACGTGGCAATTTGTTTACATTAGAGACGTGTGGTGCGTCTCCCTTCCTGTCACACGTGTGGCAGTTAGCGCGACCCTTTTTTATATTGGAAATGGCAATTCTGAAACCAAATTGTGGTTCAATGGAATTCCATTGAGAAATTAATTTACAGATTTCCTTCTGGTATTGAGCTGGATGGTTTTGGCACATTTTGGTGTTCCATTGGTGTATGAACCAAAACAGAAATATAAACATGCGATAAGATAAATTACCATGAGCACTGAATGGATGCCATAATTTGTGGAAGTAGGCCATGGTTATGAACGATAGACCATAGACAGATTCTTTTATGCAATACCCTCATTACAGTTCATGGATCTCATTTAGTTTCTTCGTACAAGAAGCACATCATGCTCTGACTTTTCTCCAAGACAACCATATATATGTGTCCCCTGGTTAATCCTTTTTAACTCATTGATCAGGGAAATGTGCAAACCGTCTGCTTTCTACGTCAGGTCTACCCCAACTGACAAGGCAAATGAAGGTTTAAATTGAACCAAAATTTGAAGTCATGAGACGATGACAGCTATCCTCTCTTCCAAGTACTAAATTTTATGCCCTCTATATTCAGAGACTGGAGTTGAGTTCTGTCTGGGCACTACTTGCGGCATTTGATGATCCTCTTCCAATCCCACAAGATAACTCTTATGGCACATTTGAAGGAGCATTTGTGAGAGATATTGATTCTCTCTCTTGGATGGCCAACAATACTCGGAAGCTTTTCCCTTTGGAGACAAACAGACCCGAGTGCTGGACATTTTTCAGCACTGCTTCTTATGGAAAGAAAAACAAAGTTCCACAGGTGGCTTTTTCTTAATGAAATTTGATACTTTTTGGTTGTATATCATTTGGTTGCACTACTCCCTGTTATGGTGAATTAAGCTAAGGTGAAATTTCCAAAATAAAAACCCATCATTTTTAGTGGAATTCTCTAATGTATTTAACCATCAAATTATAGGAAAATATCCCAAATGCCACTGCAGAAAAAGTGAAACGAGACATGCTTGGGGGAGTTGAACTTGCTCTGGGGCTCTCGACAGGATCTCTTCAGCGACCATTTTACACAAGAGTACAGTTGTGGTATGAGAATGCACACATTGGACTTCCATACCTGTTACTATTTCATCAACACATGATGATGATATTCATTCCGGCAAACACAGGGGTGCAGCTTTACCGATGAACACTCCAGGAGTACCATGCATATTTGATCCCCAGGGTCGAGCAGGCATTTGTGGTGACTGGCTCACGGGTTCAAGTATAGAAGCAGCAGTATTGAGCGGAATGTCTCTTGGAGATCATGTAAGTTCTGCCATCCTTCGCTCTATCTTCACTCCACATCATATCTCATATTTTTCGCATTTAACAAACTAGCTCTAAGCTATACGAGTCTGGTCGGTTTAACACCAAATTTGTTAATGCAGGTCGCTGACTACTTTGCGAGCGGTGGGGAACGGCCTGAGGAGTTTGCGATTGGTCTGGATGACAGCCTAAACCGAGTAGAAGGTCATGACATCGGGCAGTTCCCAGGTTTGGACCCCCAGAAGCCACAGGTAGCTGAACCTCAGCTGGCACCGAGCATATGAACTGTCTTTGCCTGATCCTGCACTGATCATTGCTGTAGCATTGTAAATGAAGAGCAGATTGTTTTCTCGCAAGGGATTCGTGTGCTGTAGCCTGCAGAATGTAAAATATGTACTATGTATGTAGAAATTTTGTCGTAAGCTGATGCCCCTGTATGTTTTTTCCTTTTGCGGGTCACCACTATATGTTGTTCTTAGAGATTTCTTCTGAAACGTTAAGAGCATCTCTAGCAGATGCCGCAAACCGTGGTACCGTAAATTTCGTTTACGCATACTGTAAACCGAATTTGTGGTACCGCGGATGGCACGAAAGATCAGATCCGGGAAACTCATACCACATAATTTAAACTACTAATTCGCGGTACATACATTACATACATTGATAGAATTCAACAGAGTTCATATGACAAACTTAAAACATACCAGCTTATAAAAACCTAAATCTATTCATCATCATCACCGTCCTTCTTGATGTGGAGATGGTACTCCATCAATGAGTTGGAGAGGACGAATGCTAGGTCGTTCTCCTTCGCCGGCGCCACAGTGCCTTCTTCTCCGGTGGCGGTTGCCTCCTTCGCCTCGTACCACGTGTGCTCTGCCTCTCGGAGGCGCTTGAGCGCGGGCCAGAAGATCTTGTCGAGCCAGTCGAAGTTGCGCCATGCCCGCCGGCCACCGCCGCGGGAGAGCGCGTCGCACTCTCGCGCCTGCACCTTGCCCCACTCCTCCATCGGCGGGCGGAAGGAGGTGCTCCCGGCTTCGTCGTCATTGCGACGCTTGCGCGGCGGCGAGCCGTCGTGGCCCTCTCGGCCACCCCTCCCATGACCAACGCTCGACATCAGGGGGCGAAGCTTTGGCTGCCTGCGCACGCGACAAACTGTTGCCTGAGGAAGGAGGATTTCTCGTCGGAGGGAATGATTTGCGGCGGAGGGGGGAAAGGGGAAGTGAAGGATGCGAACCCTAAAACGCGGCGGGGCACCCGTGAATTTACGGGCCGGGCCGTTTTTAGTTGGGCATGCTTTTTCACGCGAACTGTAATTCGGCTAGAATTTAATGCGCCGGCGAACTTATACGGGATCTGCTAGAATTTAACGCGCCGGCGAACTTATACGGGATCTGCTAGAGATGCTCTGGCTGAAGCCAAACTGTAGCTGGGAACTTTTCTAAAGCGTTAATTGTAGAATACAAAAATTGTAGCCATGAACGAGACGGGCCGTAGGATCTAACTGAAGCCAAACGCTAACTGAACATTTTGACACTTGGTCAGATAGGGTTGAGGTCTGAAACCTGCTCGTCCCGCCGCCGAGCAAGCCAGCGCCAGCGAGCGAGGTTCTCCCGCCAACCACGCGCCCGTGCTCCTCCCGCCACGCGCTCTCCTCCCCACCGGTGGAGTCATTCGAGCCGGAAAACATCGGCTGCCGGCCTCCCACTTCTTCACAACCCCGCCCAAAGACCTAGGTCTCAGCACCCACCAGCCACGCCGCCCCGGAGCAGATCCGCTCCGGCCATCCCCTTGCCCCACCGGCCTCAACAACCTTCCGCCGGAGCCGCCTCATACGCCCACGGGCATCCGGCGCCGAGGCCGCGCCCGCCGGTTTGTGGCCCAAAGCAGTTCATTCTCCAAAAGAATTGGGGGCTTCAACTGGATTGGACTGAACCCCCATGCCCCCTGCATCCATGGTTCTTCCTCATCAACCCGCAGGGTACCTGGAGACCCCTGCCACCGAAAGCTTCATACACAAGCTTCAGCTCAGCGTCTCCAAGGGCCTTCCTCACGCGGCGCCGGCGCCGGCCTCGAGGACGGACGAGCATGAGCTGGTAAGGGTTTCCTTCTGCGGGTTGGTGCACTACTTCTTCAGGTTCATGCCTGTGTACTGGGATTTGAGGACTGTACTGCCGTCCATCATTTTGCAGGTCAAAAGTGTCTTCCAAGTGCTCCAGGGTTTCGACACGCACTTGCTCTACTGGGACAAGAATGTGCCGGCGTACTGCAAGAAACCGGGGACGTATGTGTCGCATCTGTCGCGGGCAAGCCTTGGCTCCGTGCTCAAGCCCTTTCTGTTCGCCGCGACATGCTTGAAGCGAGTGGAGCTCTTTGTTGGGAAGGTTAGGTCGTGCGGTCGTGGGACTCCGACATTGAGTGCGTTTGCTAGTGCGGTCGATTCATGGCTTATGGTGAGATCGCAGTTCAGGCCTTGTGTGTATTTCTCATGTAGTGTGAGCAGATGATTTTTTTTTTTGGCTGATTTCCATGTTCTAATGTCTGTCTTCATTTTGACGCCAGAGGCTCCGGGAAGCAGCTCTGAAGGAGGAAGAGAAGTCGTTTGTTTCTGTTGATCGGACTGTGACTCTTCTGGCTTTAACTGATTCTATGTCAAGGTATACTTCAGTATGATTCCTTGACGTTTTCTTCCTCCAATTTGCAGTTCATTTGTATATGTGCGATGCAGGCTTGTGCTTATTATGTCTTGTCAAGGACCTCAATGTTTTGTGTTCTACTAATGTATATCTTCACCTTTGGTAGTTACAGAGGTAGTATATTTTAGGGAAATTAGCGACCGTGTCTAAAATGTGATGGCAAGGAGCTGCCTACCTTTTCTCTGTTTCCTATTTGGTTAGTTTTTCAAGGGCAAAAATGAGTAGAAATGACAACTCATATTTTGAGTAGCAGTGCTGGTGTTTTCATGTTAATTTAGCATTTTACATTCTAACCTAAATGTGTAGCCATTACTCACCAATGCTGTAAAATTCCTTGCAGTTTATGTTTGGGAGCAGAACATCTGTATCAAGTTGTGCATGGAGCTCTGCCAGACGGCTTTTGGGGTTCTGGAGCAAACATTGCATCTAGTGAAGTGGCAGTCCATGTTGTGAACCATATTTTTAAAAAGTTAAATGAAGTCTGTCTTGTGGAAGATGGCGAGGTTGCAACAGGGCCTAATTGTGCGAAATCTATCTGTTTATGCTTCTTTTCACAATGTCCACTAACCTTCATTCAAATCTATCTAAATTGCAGGGTGAGCCATATCATATGCTGCTAGTGATATTTGCTGGAAGCTTGTTACCTTATCTTCAGTGCCTTGATTCCTGGCTTTATGATGGTATTCTTGATGACCCTTATGAAGAGGTATTGAAGGAACATCTTTTGTAACTGATTTTGATAGATGATTTATAACATTATTTTTTTCTCAAATATGTCTATTTGTCAAACACTGAAACACTACCATAAGGTCCTTGCATTCCTAAATCTAGAGCTTAAACTGGAGAGTATCATTCTTAATTTGTTATATTGTGTGAACCTTGTAGACTTCTGCAAAGACATAAGTAATTATTTGTTTCCTCATATATTTCTGTGGACTGTCTAGGTTCCTGACCCCATACTGTAGGTTTTACCTTTATATATCCTTGAGCATAGGCCTGTTCAAAAATGGTTTTAGGTGAAACTGTCTAAACTGGTAGGAATTAGCCTAGCTCAGTTTCCTTCTTTGATTGTAAACTGAGCTAGTACAGTTTTCATGGTTTCAACTGAAGCCATTTTTTAACACGCTTACTTACGCACATTCTAAGCCAATGTCTCTAGTATAATATGAGGTTATTAGTCTTTGTTGTCTGAAATGTTACTTTTTCTTGGCCCGATACTTAAGTTCTGTAAGTCCTGTAGTGCTTTTAAAAATGACTGCTGGAAGGTTACTAACTTACTTTGTGATATTACAAAGTTAAACATTACACTGATTGTACCAGCTTATTATAACGCTGTAGGAATTTGATAAAGGATTTTCCATTTCTGCGTTGCTGGTTGAACTTTAAGCATTTTCTGTTTTCATTTGTGATGTAGATGTTCTTTTATGCAAATAATGCAGTTACGATAGATCAACCGGCCTTTTGGGAAATGAGCTATATGCTCAGAGTAAGAGGATCACGATCTGATAATTCATCAACTCTAACTGATAGTGAGTCTATCAGGACAAAGGAATCAAGCAAACAGGAACCAAGTAACACAGGAGCTTGCTTGAAAGCCACTAATCAAGGTTACGTGGATATACTGTGCCCGGTGTTCTTGAAGGATATCGCAAGGGCCATTGTATCTGCTGGAAAATCATTTCAGCTTGTTCAGCATGCTCAAAGCACACACCATACTCGAACTAGTGTCACAAATGGTTTTGACATCGATCAGCGTTCCAATCACATTAGTCGACAAAATTGGCCAGACATATTAAGCTCTGAAATCCAAAATGGGCATCTAAGATGTGAAGGTGCTCTTACTAATTCTACAGGTCAGTTTGGACATGATGCTCGCGAAATGGGGGTGTTAACTTTGTCTGAGATTTTCTTGATATGCTTATCTGGTCTGTTGGAAAATGGTGATCATGTTTATGAATACTTAAGAGGGCTGCGTACTGGTAGTGCTCCAGATATCCAAGCTTTTCTGGAATGTAAGAGTGAGGAGGCATGTGCAGAAAATAACTCCGAAAAGACTTGGTTAAAGCTCCTAAGAGATGCTATCTCAGGAAGAAAATATGATGATATGGAGAAAACCTTGTCCAAAGATGCTGTTACGAGGGATCCAATATCTGTTCAGGGATACCTGCAAGGTGTATCTTCCAATGCAGTAGAAATGCCTTTCAGTCCATGTTGCTATGAAAATCCAGCCATCACTGCTTGCGGAAATGTACTGCAGAGGAATCCAAATTCTTGGAGTGATTTGAATATCTCTACAAGTTTTGACCTTCCTCCGTTGAATGATGATAACATGCGGAGAGCTATATTTGGCGATCTCCAATCTGCTGGAACTAGCACCTGTGGCGATACACAACCTACATCATCTTTTCCCAGACTAGATGGAACTGATTTTAAATTTGGTTTCCGGTTTGATGATTTGGAATATGTTCGCCAAGAGGATGATAGAAGGACCCTCGAGGAACTTTATGCATTTCCGACTCTTCTTCCTTGTGCAAATGTAAGAGTTGCTTCTGAAGTATTCTTTGTGTTCTTCATGTTTTCTCATTAGCTATAAACCTATAACCTCATTGCCCTTCAGGAAAATGCCCCATTGTCGGAGATTTTACCTTTGCAGAAAGATAGTACACTTGCATCAAGAGTTCTGAAGTTTATTCAGAGCATGAGTTTGAAAGACCCTCTGCATCCAGTGGGTATTATCCAAGAATGCCTGTCTAAATGTATAAAGAAACAGGTCTGATCAATAGTTATACTCACATGCCATTTCTTGTTAGTCCATCTGTATAATTGTTTTGTGCTTTCTTCCTCTTCGTTAGGTGGATCACATCGGCAAGCAAATCCTGTGCAAGCTAATGGGTGAATGGAGATTAATGGATGAACTGCTTGTATTACGAGCTATCTATTTGCTAGGATCAGGTGTGCCATCCAGTGGATTTAACCTTTTGCTGTGTTTTCCCCGACACAAACTTTCCATTGCACAGAAGAGTAGTTTTCACTTGAGAAATAAATATTCTTTTGACAACGAGTAAACATATAAATATGTTTCAAATGATCCAACTTGAATTTTCAGGTGACATGCTGCAGCAGTTTCTGATAACAATTTTTGATAAGCTCGATAAAGGAAATTCCTGGGATGATGATTTTGAGTTGAATACTTTGTTGCAGGTGATTACTTTTCAAATCTACTTTGTGATTGATATCTATGTCCATCATTACTCTTACGTTAATCCTTGACTTGCAGGAATCCATAAGATATTCAGCTGATAAAATGCTCCTAACTGCTCCAGATTCGTTGGTTGTTTCATTAGCAAAGCATGACACACGATATGATGAGGAAAGTGCACCAACTTCCAGAAAAGGTCGTGCACAGGGTTTCGGCATTGATGCACTTGATGGCCTTAACTTCACGTATAAGGTATTTTCCAAATAACTACAAGGATGATCTGTGTTATTTGCTGTGTGTGACAGTTTTCATGTATTTTGGTGGTGGCAGGTGTCTTGGCCCCTTGATCTAATTGCCAATACACAGGCTCTGAAGAAGTATAATAAGGTAATTGCTTTAACACTGAAGTATATAACAGGGCAGCGTGTATATGATGGCTTTGGTCATTTTGCTGGACCAGGTCATGGGATTCTTACTGAAAGTCAAGCGTGCAAAGTTTGTTTTGGACGAAACTCGAAAGTGGATGTGGAAGGTACGCTGGCATCAAATCATCTTGAGCTACTTATTTTTTGTAATTCCTATAGTGTTTAGTGTTGGATAGTTGGATCTGCTCTATCTTGCAAGCTTCATTCTGATGTATCAACCGTTTTTCCTTTGGCAGGGCAGAGGCAGCACGGCACATAATTTTAAACAACACTTAATAGTAGGGCAGAAGCTCCTGCATTTTGTCGATGCATTTCATCAATATGTCATGGATCGAGTGAGTTGAGACGGGTTTGACTCATTTCATTATAAGAAACTATGACTGTCTTGACTTGAACTCATTTCTTTTGGAGCAGGTGTATCATAGTGCCTGGACTGAGCTTTGTGATGGCATGGCATCCGCTACTACATTGGACGAAGTCATGGAAGTTCATGAGGCATATCTTTCTTCTATTCAGAGACAATGCTTTGTGGCCTCGGATAAGTTGGTGAGAACATGTCATTCTTACAAAAAGCAAAGACAGTCTCGAAGTTCTGAACTATTGCTAAGACTGTTCATTTTCCGTGTGTTTTCAGTGGGCTCTGATTGCCAGTCGAGTCAAGACTATACTAGGATTGGCGCTAGACTTCCACAATGTGGAGCAAACTCTTGGCACCGGTGGGACTGCCGCATCTGTTAGGGCAAGATGCGAGATGGAGTTGGATCGTATCGAGAAGCAATTTGACGAGTGCGTCGTGTTCCTCTTGAGGGTATGCTTCTACCTACTTCAGCAAAACAATATGATCTCTTATGTTGTCCAAAATGTACGTGTCAGTAGATTTACTGCTGAAATCCCTCTGCAGATCCTATCTTTCAAGCTCAACGTGGGCCACTTTCCCCATCTCGCGGATTTGGTCACGAGGATCAACTACAACCACTATTACATGTCTGACACTGGAAGCTTCACTGCGATCCCTGGGTCCCGCCCTCGGCAGCAGCCTTGATAGGGTTGTAGGAGCTTTTCACCTCCATTTGTGGGGGAGTGTACATAAACCTGAGGCGTCCAGGTGGCACGAAGCAGTTCCTGAATTCCTTGGGTTTTACTGTACATAATTCTGAGGATGCAACATCTTTTGACGGCATTCTGAGGATGCTGCTTCCTTTTCCCAGGTTGCAATGTACTCCGATATGTTGAAGAGATTGGGTTCCTCTTGTGTCAGGACAAAGTTGCGATATGTGTGCTAATTTTTTCGAATGGATTGATCATCCTTCCAGGTCCCATATACCAAAATAAAAGGGGCAAACCATGAAGTGCACATACCAAATCTTTTGAGTTTTTGGGTGTAGCTTATCTACTTTAGTGAATCTTAATCTGAATCTTTTTTACACTAAAGATGATGGAGTTTTCTAGGAGCTTGCAAAAAGTTGTGCCGAGATGACTTAGGAAAGAGCTCTGTAAAAAAAAATCGGAGCTCTCACAATGAACATACTTCTGCATTACTCCCGGAAGTAACCAGCAATCAATATAGAGAAGCAAAACCCCTGGAAGCTCAAAGCACAACATGACCCACCAACATAACCCCTGGAAGCAAGCAGAGTATTTTTTTTTTTTGCGAGGTAAAAAATGTTTCAGTTTCAAATTGCAATCCTACTAGACTGGCACCCATCCATGTCCTCCCGTGTAAGCTCCATCTTAGGCATATATATCTTGACACTCTTCTCAAGTTGTCTTCCACTTTGGTCTTTCTGAAAAAGCGCCCAGATATCAACAGTGTTACTAGTGACCTAAAATGTCTTACATTTGTTTACAGAGGGAGTACATCTTTTGTTTTTGAAAACTTGTCCAATACAGAGCACCGTCTCATGTGGATCCGATGAAAAAGAAGATATATACCCAACTGGCAAACACATCACTAGCTCTATAAGGTTGGTCGAGCAAGACCAAAAGCACCGAATACCATCAACCCTACAATTTTGGTTAAAGAGGAGCCAAAATCTAGCACATATGTTTCATTTTCTGAGAATAGAAAGCCACGACGGCGAAGGTCTACTGGACTATTCCCTAATGAGACGATTAAATTGGAACTCACTTTATACAAAAGAGAGAGATACAACGAGCAAAGTAAGATAGAGGCGACCAAGATGGTAAGTGGAGCGCCCCCAACAACCATAGAATGGTCGGTAGTAGTTACATATCAATATTAATCAGCTGTATTAATTCTGCAATATCGTCCTTGGGGACAAAAATTAAATTAATCTCTCAAGATATTCCAAATTAGTTTCTTGCTTGTTCGGACCAGGACCGTCCCAGTAATCATTAGCTATTATGTTTTGCAAAATCTTTTGTATTTGTATTACAATATGTTATAATTCATTGGGATGTTGATATTTTTGTGGGGCAGGATGCATGGATCAAATTTTGAATTATTATGTAGGCATGCATCAAACATAGGGTACCACTAACCAGTAAACCACACAGATGCAATACAAAGCCATGTCATTATTTCTATTAGGTTAGCCAAGCAAGACAGAAAGCACCGAGTTCCATCAACCATACAAATTTGGCTAAAAAAAGCCAAAATAGTACCTGCAATTAGTTTTAAAGGAAGGTAGTCGTCACGATGAAGATCTATTCTCAAACGAGACAATCAAAGTAGTTTTAAAGGAAGGTAGTCGTCACGAGAAGGTCTATTCACAAATGTGACAATCAATTCGGAACTCACTCTATATACAAAAGTTGAGAGATATGGCAAGCAAAGTAATGTCGACTTGACCGTCCCCAACAACTAGTGGATGGATGTGATTGTAGCAGTATTAACCATGCCACTAGTATTAATTGTGTAATATCATTTCTCAGGGATACAAACTAAATGAATTGTCTCAATATATTCCAAATATTTGCATACTTGTTTGATCCCGGCCCCGCTCACCTGCTGGGCTCCCTGTAGGAATTATGATCTAGGGCCAATAGTAGACCGCCACATGTCTAGGGGGGGTTTGTTACTGCCCTATTTGTGTTGTTGCTTGATACTCTTTTCTATGTGTTTTTCTTCTACTCACTTGTACGAAGCGCCTGTCGCTTCTAACATCTCCTATTCCAGTGTGCAGCCATCGGCATCTCCCATCCGATGCCGCTGGTGGTCCCTCCTCCCACTCCGCTTCATCGTTGCTACGGAGCACATCTCGCTTATATATGTCTGCCCCTTTCTATAGCACGACCACATATATTTTCTATGTTGTCGTGCCCAGCCACCTCGTCTCACCTCAAGACCTTCATGTCGGGTTGCCAGATCAATTAACCCTTCTGCCAAAGGAATGGTGTCGAAGTACTCTAAATGTGGAGATTGGAGGCCGTATTATTCGAGTATATATTGAGGAGCGCCGCCGAGTTGATCTCTGGCTCTGGTGAGATTATGCCGTCCTCTTGGGGTTCCATAACATCCTGAAGTCACTCTATATAGACATGCACCTCGCTGAGTCGGCACGTCCTGAACCCATGGGCATATGCACCCACTTTTTGAAAAATGCATTTTAAACATGTTTTAAAATGATGAAAAATTCAATCCACACATACATGTTCGTAAATGTGTGTGCGCGGCATAAAGTTTTATGAAAAATGTCTTTTCGTTCTATCTCCGCAAAAAAGATAAATTTTAATGCTTCTAAATAGCGTTTTACGACATATTTTTTTTTGCACGGGCCACAAAACTAGTTATTTTTCCGTGAAACCTTATGTACGCACATAAAATATGAAGACGTATCCGTGCAACCTTTTTAGAATTTTTTTAGCATTTAGAAATGTATTTTTTAAAGTGAGTTCATATTTATCCGAATTCATCGATGCACTTCTCGCACCTCGCCACTCTAGATTGAGACTCCTATTACTTCGAAGCCAACAAATGGAAAAACTGCAGCGACATGTTCTTGACGGCATTACTACTCCTCCTCTTCTCAGTTGCCACCAGCATCCACGCCATTCTCGACTGGTGGTAGCAACTCTAGCAGACCCCGCAAAACGCTCGGCCCGCAAAAATTTCGGCGAGTATGCGGGCTCGGTCCAATTTTCCGGTCAGAACAGAGCACACATACTCGCTCGACCCGCAATTTTTTTTGCCGCAGCCCGCAAACCGCACGTCCCGAGCAGTATAACTGCGGTTCCGCGACCCTTTTGCGGGTCCAAACCCTATCCCTCCGCCGTCGCGAGCCACCCGATTTCCCTTTCCCCTCTTGCAATTTCTCGCCGCCGGCGACCACCCGCCCCACCTCCAGCCGCCATGTGGGGGCGAATGTGGAGCTCTGGACGCGGCTCCGGCAGCAGATCCGGCCGTGAGCGCGACCCGGAACGCGAGCGGAGCGTCCGGGCGGACGGCGCGAGGAAGCGCGGTGCCCGGAGGTGGACCAACCGCGGGATGTCGCCGCCGCCGAGCTTCAACCGCCGCGAGACGGAGGAGTACGACCAACGTCGCCGCCAACGACAAGGTTGAGGAGTGACGCCGCATCCGCGCGGAGCAGGCGGCGAAGTACATCGACCTGTGCAGCTCCAGCGAGGAGGATTGAGCGTTGCTCGGCCTCCACGACGTCGTCCATTTTGCCGCGACCTCGCTGTCGTCAGATCCGACCCCCTCTACTACTAGTTAACGTAGCATTTAGTATGATCTATGCTTAGTTTGTTGATCCTGTAGTATGTATGAACTGTGTAGTATGTGATGTGATGAACTATGTGTGTCAATTTCTTCCGCGAAAGAGTTTTTTCAAATTATGCAGGTTTAGATGCGGTATCTGATCGGCGACACATGTTTTCGACCCGCAAACGAGATCTTCGTGAAACCGCAAGTGAATTTTGCGGGTCAAATTTTTGCGGGGTCTGCTAGGGTTGCTCTAAGAAACCGTCCATGCTAGCAACAATTATTGTGTTTCTCTCTATGTAGATACGGTGTGGAGAAGCTTTTTTTTTTGAACATCAGTACAGACACAAGCGCTCATACACACACGCATACACTCACTCCTATAAACGCACACGCGCACACCCTACCCCTATGAGCATCCCCGAAAGACTGAGGCGGCATATCATCTTGAAATTTACGAAGTCACCGTAGGCACCTCGTCATCGACGGGAAAGTCTCCTCCCACTGAATGCGCATCGCCGGAAATCCTGAAATAAATCCAGAAATAAATACGAGCACCAGGATTTGAACCCTGTTGGGCTGTGGATATCATAGTTCCTCTAACCATCCAATCACAAGTTGGTTCCTTTCGGTAGACCAGGTGAGGAAGGACCGATGCAGTAAGGATGCCTTTGGTTGAAGGTGTCGTATGAATAGGTTGGGACCGTTCAATTTTTTTGGGATTGAACCATTCAATTCATGTGTTTGGCTGAATATAAGTGGTGAGCTAATTATTTAGGACGGGACCACCAGTCATGCTCACATAGTCATGCATGCAAAGGGTGGCTATTTGATTGGGTGGAATGGTTCAGCATCTTCATGGCGTATTCTCTTTTTTTGGCTCGAACCATTCATGTGCTTTATAACCAAACATGTCTATTTTCTGAACGATCCTAATCCATTCATGACCGCCCTTGCAACCAAACGCATCCTAAGATTGCAAAAAAGTTGTACAGGCCATATTAAATCCATCGGGGTAGCGTGCTTCAGAACCAGTTGTTACAAATGATTGCCAAAAGCTGATGGCGGAATTTGAGGGGCTAACCTTGCTGCTCATGAGCTTGATGGGTTTGGCTTCATTGAAAGGACCGGATTTTCGTGGCAGGATCGGCCCGCTAACTTTCTAGTCCCAACTCATGTAAACGAGTTGGTGGTTATTTGAATAAAGTCGCCAGATACAAAAATATATTAATGTTAGATGCTGGCAAGCAAGGACATGTGACGGTCTCTTATTGGCCCAGCACAATAATTCGGAGTTTTGGACCCGTCACTACTAGAAAAAAGCTTATAGATAGAAATTTAGTAGTAGCGCTAGTTATAGGGTCAGCGCTATCGACACT